TCTCTCTGATTCATTACTCCACTAGTATACATGCTCTAACCCCAACACTTTAATCCAAGTTATTAATTCCTTTATTACTGAAACTATTACCAACTTCAATCTTAATCTTTCTTATTGAGAAACCAATTATTTAATTTATACAATTTCTTCTTATCCTGCTTTCTTTATTTGGCTCTTTTCTCTTTACCATACTTTATACACTCAACTCTTAAAGGTCTTATTCCTATTACACTTGTACAATCTGTATTATCCTTCAACATTTCTCACTTCCTTGCCTCCGAATTTATTATCCAAATTCTTATCAAAATCTCTAACCAACTCTATGATCATATATAAAAAACATATTGTATAAACTTCTCTACTTGAAAAAATACATACCAAATCTCTACCAATACTTTATCTACCCAACACTCTTAACTATCATCTTCTCGTATAACTACCAGGACCAAAAGGTTATTCACTTATAACTGCCCATTAAGCTTATCAGATCAACTTTATGATGAGTTTAATATCTGCCTTTCTGCTAGGCTTGCTAATTGTTACAATGGTGGTCAAACCCCCTGTATGCTATGTTCGGGGAATGTTTGGTTGTCAAGATTTGGATTTTGATCGTAACATCACGTGAGCACGTGGTGTCCATGATGATCAGAGTAATAGACACTAATCAGATAAACCAATAACTTCATGCATGGATAGTTTATTTGTAATATGTATGTCATAGATGTAGTCTATTGTTATTTTGCACAATTTTGTATTAAATATATAGTTATTGATGTATGGTTTGATGAAACCAATTTGAAGTCAGAGAATTGATATAAATAGAATAAAAGCTTTGTAAGCAAATCCAGTTCTCTTTTTCTCAATAATAAGAAATCACTTAGTTAAATAAAATACAAACATGTGGTTCCTCAAGTGGTCGTGTGTGTGTTTTATAAAGTTAAGGTATTGCTACAGAATTGAAGAAAATGTTGCCAAGTCTTGTGAGTTTGCTGGTGAACCCAAAGTGCCCCAATCTGAGCTAAACTAGTACTAGGAGACTGTCCAGTGCATACCCACTTGACACTAATTAAAAATTCGATATCTGGTCTACAATGTAGATTCAATATAGCACTCCTACTAATTATATTTTAACTATTCAAACCTAGATAAGTCTTGACCACTCTAATAGGTTTAGGTCACAGATAACTAGTCTGGTTTATTTTAACTTTTAGTTTGAGCTTTTATTCATACATATAGTTTATATTTATTTGTAATTATACAAATTAAGTTTTATATAGTTTCTATATAATTACTTATATAAATTATTTAATAAAGATATGAGAAAGGCCTTATCTTTAGCAACAAAAAAAAAATTTTCATTAAATTTGACTATAATGAAGCTCATATCTATACATTATAGAAACTCTGTTTTTTCTCTAACTACTAAATTATATTTTACCAAAATGCTATTTTTGCAAACTCTTATATTTTTTTAAAATTATATACACAATTCTCTTTATATCTTATAATTTCTTTAATATTCTCTTTTTCTCTTTTAACCTCTTTATTTGTATATATAATATTTGAAGCTTTAATTAAAATTTTAAGCAACAAGTCTAGAAATACTATTGCTTATCTAATAATTTAAATATTATTTTTCTTGCCAAAACCTAACTAGCTAGCAACAACTTTATCTTCTAATATTTTATAACTTCTTACTATACTTATTTTTGGTTTTTTATAGAAAATTTCAAAGCTAAAACTATCTTTATAATATGCAACTCTCTAACTTCTCATATATGCAATATCTTTATCTTTTAAAATATACTATTTTTATTTACCTATTTTTCAAACACAATTTTAAAATTTATATTATCTTTATATATATTTTTTGTAACAATACTTCTACTAGACTTCAAGTTCAAAACACTATAATTTAATAGATACAAAATTCTAGTATGTTAATTTACTTTCTATTATACTTGAAAACTTAAACACTTTAACTAATAATATTTACTCTTTATTTATTAAATACAAATTTCTTTAATTCTTTACTTATAACAATATGAATAATTTAGCTTTATATACTTTCTTATTCTCTTCTATCTAGCACAATACTAAACTCTGTAGTAAAATTGACTTTATTTAAGTTTACTATACTATTCTATCTTACTTTATTTTTATTAACTTCAACAGAATTTTCTTAATAACTACAAAATTCTTATTGTCTTTTCTCTATACTTTATATAACTAATATAAACATAAACATATATATATAGAAAAGTTTTTAACTACAAAGCAATAAATAACACTATATAAAATAAATTTTCTAACCAAGTTAATACTAATCTTCTTTTTTACAAAACACTTTTTTTTATTAACACTTCTGAATTTCTTGAAATCAAATTCATACTAGCATTATTAAGCTGCATTGTAGCATATTCTTAATAAAAAATTTACTATTTGCAACTTTTGACACTTTTTTTTTTTTTTTGGCATTAAAGTAACTTCTATAACCAGAGGCTTTTTATTAGACAATTAACAATATTTACAATTATGATGAAGATATAACTAGTCATATATACAACTTTTGGTTATCTATTTAAGTAGTTTGCTTGGGATTTACACTAACTGCCATATCTGCAATCTAACTAGAAGATTATCTATTTAAGCTCTCTAGTCTTTACAGATAAGAGTATATATATAGGTTTGAGTAGGAATATTAAGATTTTGCATTGTTGGAAGATTATTTGTTAAGATTTTAATATAAAAGAAGTATTTATAAGAATTATATTCTAGAAAGTTAAGTATTTTAAAAGTCAGATTTCAGTTTATATCTGATGTGTAGTTGTTGAAAAGCTTAAAAGATGATCAGAATATAAGTTCTTGAATTGTAATAATATTTTTAATAAAAGAGCATGCTTTAAATGTGATAATATGATTGTTCCAAAAGAATTATATAGGAAGGTTAAAATATGTATAAGAAATTGTTAGAAGAGGTTTAATAGAGCCTTTTTGGCTAGCTGGTCAGCTAGATTATGAAGGGAATTAGTTAAGTGTAATTTGACTTTTATAGTATTAATAAAGATATTCTTAGTAGATTTAATAGAGTGAATTAATTGGAATAACAAGTAGATGAGTGTCGTGGTGACGACCAACATCAATATTGCTAGGGTTGGATATGATCACGGGTTACCCGATTGAGACTAGATAATATTAATGGCATGATCGCTGATGCATGAATTTAATTAAAAGTCTATCTGTAGTATTGCATAATGCATGTAACTAGGTAATCAAGTACCCGGATTAATAATCTCTAATAAAAGAGTATCGATTCTAAAGGGATGGATATGGGATAAGTTGGACCAACAAGCTTCTTAGTGAAAGCCGGACAATTGTTTTGCTTAGTGAAAAACTTGTCTTAGTGAATAAACTGTTACCTGTGTGGATACATAATCGGTGATAGTGCCTGGTATGATACGCCAGAGCCAAGTGAGTTGAACTCTAAGTGAAAACCAATTGAAAGACCCCATAACTGCGAATCGGCGTGACAAGGAAGGACCTGGGTACAAATAAAAGTCTCTTGCAAGAAGGTTATGACAATTAGCACAAGCTGAATTTAGCTTGTATAAAATAATAAAGGTTGTGTCTTGCTTTAATTAATAAACTGTGTAGTCTTGTCTTAGTGTTTGTAAGTAAGCCCATAAGTTGGGAATCTGAGCTAGATTAGCAGTAGGATAGAGCCTATTGCGAACCCACACGACAAGGTAGAACCTGGCCTGGGTAAGACGAAGGTCTTGCTTGCAGAAATATGTTACATTTGTGCTATGTGAAACAACAAAAGGTTGTGTTTGCAGTAACTTGTTGCGAATTGAGGTACCTCAGTAGCAATTATAGTTAGTGGACGTTAAAGAAATACAAAAGAATATTATTAGTGAAAGGTTAAAATAAATGAGAACATTGAACGAAAGTAGCAAATACCTTAGTAGTAGACAGATGAAAGTTGAGGATAGTGATCTTTTGGTATCGATAATCGAAAATATGATAAAAGTGGTGATTGAAGCCATGAAAACCTTAACAGTGGTGAAAACAAAAATACGTCATCATCGACGTTCACGATTATGCTATATATGTCGACGTTCAGGACATTTAGCTCGATCATGTTATTTGTAAACGAAACTTATGAATAAACGAGAGAAAGTTCAGCATCAGTATCAAGGAAATGAATGGAGAAAAAGGGAAAACAATACGTATCTGATTGATAATATCAAGGATATCAGATCCCTAAAGTATGAAAATGCAAAAAGAGTCGATAAGAATAAGCAGATTCATCCGAAAACTATTAGAGTTTGCGCAAAAAAGGATTAGCATAAAGCAGTCGAATATTATTACAAATTATCCGATATGAGTGATCCTAATAGAATTGGCGGTGAATTAGATGAATGCAAGGTGTACAATTTCCATCAAAAATCTTTTATTAATGGATATAAAGCATCAAAACGGCCTTGGAAAAGTGAAAAGTGTGCCGAGTTGAATGATGCAAAGAATCTTGAAGATTGTGATGTGGAGGATATCGGCGAGATATATGATGTTGGGTACTGTAGTATCGATGGAATTGAAGTAGGTGAGAATAAAGGTGTTAAAAGCAGTAAGCGAAATGATGTAGTATCGACACATAAAATGGACGCTGATAAAAGTGGAAAGAAGAATGAAATGGTTAGTTTGGTAAATAAAGAGGCATGTGAAATGAACAATGAAGAATTTAAATTCTCACCTAAAACGAATGATAGAGGGTCTCACAAGATTGGATCGGTTATTGAATCTGATAAAGTCATTAAGAATAATGATCTTGAAGTAATGAAGACTGGAATTGGAAATACCCATCAAGATAGGAATAAGGACTCCAATTTTGTTAAATGTGTCGAATGTGTAATGCCGAAAGATAAAAGTGATGGAATAATGATTAGAAAAGGAATGAATTATGCAAAGTTGATCAGATATAATCACGATATCAAACGTGAATGGAATCAATCGAAAGCACAAAAAACTTGTGATAACTGGAATCTGGAGTGAATATTAAACATTTTATATCAAGTTAAAAAGAGGAGAATCTACGATCATATTTACTTGAAACATACGATCAGTTGCGATGGACTGGAGCATGCGATATTTGGAAATCGAATAGATGTGCGTTTGGGTTTAAAACATTAGTAAAAAAAAAAAAAAAAACAAAAACAAAAAAAAACTTTCATTAGTGTTTAATATTTGTGTATATAGGTTAGTATTAGTTAAATGATATGTTGTAGGAAATATACACGTGCTATATTTGTTGAACATTGCAAAAGAGAACTTCAGGACGAAGTTCATTGGGTGTCTAGCTCCTGTCGTGGTGACGACTAACACCCCTTGTATCAATATTGCTAGAGTTGGGTACGATCACGGGTAACCCGATTGAAACTGGGTAATATTAATGGCATGATTGCTAATGCATGAATTTAATTAAAAGTCTATCTGTAGTATTGCATAATGTGTGTGACTGGGTAATCAAGTACCCGGATTGATAATCTCTAATAAAAGAGTATCGATTCCAAAGGGATCAATACGGGATGAGTTGAACCAACAAGCTTCTTAGTGAAAGCTGAACAATTGTTTTGCTTAGTAAAAAACTTGTCTTAGTGAATAAACTGTTACCTGTGTGGATACATAATCAGTGGTAGTGCCTAGTACGATACGCTAGAGCCAAGTGAGTTAAACTCTAAGTGGAAACCAACTTAAGACCCTATAACTGCAAATCAGCATGACAGTAAGGGATAATTGCCATTAATTTAGCATGAGATAAGTTAGAAAAAGGCACAATTGCTATATTAAATTTTGTAGATAAATTATTTTCACAGATCTAGCCTATGCTAGTTTGTATATTAGTCGTTTGAGGGTTTTGGATAGAGGCATCTGTGGCAAATTGAAGATTAGTTAAGTTTAGATCTAAAATATTATTGTTTATTTGAATAAGTTGATTTTGATAATAAGGGATTCAATAATATAATATATTAAGTGTATTTCACGAGAGCAAATATTAATTTGTGGTTGACAAGAAAAAGAAATTAGAGATAGGCTAAGGTTATTAGCAATATCAATAATGGCAAGGATTTCTTTGTGATCAATTTGTATTAAGGAATTGTTAAACTTGATTTGTTTATATAAAAGGTTTATAGATTTTGAATTTGGTAGTGGGTTGACAGATTCTATTAGATTTGGTTGACCTTTGAGTAGTTCTGCTAATTAATCAATTTCATAGATTAATGTTTGTTGATATTTGTTATAGTATAGAAAAAATATTTTGTGGTTGTTAGAAAATAATTAGAATGATAAGTTTATATTTAAGGAAGAAATTAGATCAGTTGTATTGACAAAGCTATTTGTTAAAGGTAATTGAAGTTGTAGCCATATAACTTGAAGTGAATTTGTTTGTTATTTGTAAAAGTCAGGTAAATAATAAAGGTTGATAGCCTCTAGTTGCTTTGTTTGTATGAAGATAAATATTATTTTAGAGAAGAAAGAATTTATTATTTGTAGTTGTAATTTGTTCTATAAATAGTGTTTTGTTGTATTTAAGACTATTAAGTATAAGATTATTAGAGATTGGAGAAAGTATATTATAGATTAAGTGGGTATGTTCAGGAATAAATATGGGGTAGTTTGTAATTTGAGAAGGTAAGGATATTGTTATATTATTTCTTGCTAATAGGAAATGTGAAAGAAAAGAGTATAGTTTTGTGTTTTTTTAAAGTATGTGAGAAGTGTTTTTTTAGTAAGTTTTGGTAACCAAATTTTTGATAACCAGGATTTGATTCAAGGAATACCAATATTATAAAGAAGTGAAAAAGTATTAAAGGTATGTTTAATATTAAATATACTAACTTTTTGTATTATATTGGTAAAGGTAGGCAGATTAAAGATAAGTGGGTTAGTAAGTGATATATTATTAGTATTTTTAGCTAAAGAGAGCATCTTTTATGTTTGTATAGAAAGTAATTGAGAGAGTTTAGTCTATAAATTTTTTTGAATAGAGATAATTTGGAGAAGATATTCTAGAGAGGGTTGGAGTATAAAATTAAAGAGGGAAGATATTTGGGAGAGTAATAGTTTTTTATATCTAATAAAAAAAGAAAGTTGTTGTATAGTGTATCAAGAGTTGGTTTAGTTGACCTTTTACCATCATAGAAAATACCTAGATATCTAATTGTGTCTTTAGGTTTTTTGGGAGTAATTATTTGATTATTATAAGAAAGTATATAATCTGATATTTTGGAGTTTTTAGAACAAATATGAAGTAGATCAGATTTGGTTGGGTTAACTTCAATGTTATTAAGTTTATATAAAGTGGAAGTATCATTAAGAATAGTTTGTAAGATTTCTGAATATTCACAGTACTACACTATATCATCTATATAAGCTAGTAGTGATATTGTGATAGTAGTTGAAGGTGTATTTAAGATTGTTTCAAGTAGGGAGAATGATGAAATTTTAAAAAAAATTATTATATTTTTGAGAAATAAAGGTAAGAATAGGGTCATAATAAAGGAATTAATAACTTGGATTAAAGTGTTGGGGTTAGAGCATGTATACTAGTGGAGTAATGAATCAGAGAGA